CTTTGTAGATAATACCTGATGTGCTCTTTTTCATGCCAGGAGAAAGACAACAACAACGCTAATCATGAATATAAATTGACTTGTGAGTTTTTTGTTGTGCAGTGTGTATGTCTTAAAACATCATGTGTAGTAAACAGAGGAATAAACACCTATATTTAGATGGGACTTGGGCATCTTTAAGTCAATTTTATATTTAAATACAAAGAAGTTTATCTTTCATTGTAGGCTAATATTCTAGCATAGCCGAAGCTGCAGAGGTAATGGAAACCCACTTATCATTACTATGAATATAGTTACAAGCAGAAGTATTTGTTAAAGAAAAGCAAGTAATAGTAGAAGGGTATGCATTTTTGGTGAGAGCTTGTTTATGACTGCCCTCTGAAAACATGAGATATACCAAGATGGTTGCTTTGCATGTGCCTTCAGTGTTGCCAGTAATGTTAGAGTTGCCTGTTGGGGTGAAATGCAGGTATTTCTTGCCCTTGGATGTCTGTAGAATAGGAACATGTCATTGTTTTTGCTGGGGAGTGCTCTGGGGTCATGCTGTGCCATTGTGTGTATGTGATGCAGGAGCAGGGAGGTTTGCAGGGGCTAGGAATGGGGAGAGACTAACTGAATTAATGCAAAGGCACAAACAAGAAATGACCTTGTTTGGGGAGCGTGTTTCCTTCTGAGTAGGGACAAGTAGTAATTATCCTCCTTTCAGTGCTGAACTAACAAGTAATTACTGTTATTCCTTAATTAAAGTATGCAAATTGAAGATTTCTTTTTTTTTTCTCCCCAGACTGAGTTAAATACCGTTATTCACAGCTGACAAAAGTTCTCAATATTATTTTGGTTCATCCTTGAAAAGGTTCAGTAACCAAAAGAAAGCCTAACAAAAAAAGCAGTGAACCGGGCCAGACGTGGGTCATGGTATACAAGACTTGCTCAGAGCGTGTGCCTCTGCAGGCTCTGGGGGTACCTACAATTAGACACACTGTTTGCAGCCTGAGTTTTGATGAATGCATCTACCCGCTAGTGCTGGGGGAGGGGAGGGAGTGGGCTTGTAAATCAGTCCCACAGGGTATAGGACAAATGACTTGCTTTCTATAGTACGTTTATATGAAAGACAGAAATTTGTAAGATGTTACAGGGTTTGCAAAGGCACTGGGTCAGTTATGATTCATAGAGAGCCATCCTGGGGGAGGCTGTTTACTCTCCCCTCGCTCTCATTAATTCACTTGCAAATTTTTCACCAGGCAGCTGGTACAGACCTTAGGTAGCTGGTGCAAGAGTAAAGTTACTTTGCAGTACAACTACGGAGTAAAACTGTACTAGAGTTCTGAAAAGTCAAATGCAGACCCTGAGAGAAAAGAGGATGGGCACGTGTCTGTGGCAATGAACTCAATTCGGCTACTGCCTTTTCTGATGCACTTGTGACTGCAGAAGTCATCTAAAAACTCTGTTCCTGATCATAGAGGTTATTTTCCAACCTAAATGATTCCAAGATGATTGAGTCCAATCATTAACCCAACAATGACAAGTCCACCACTAAACCATGTCAACAAATGCCACATCTACATGCATTTTAAATACCTGCAGGGATGGTGACTCCACCGTTTCCACAAGCCTGTTCCAGTGCTTGACAGCCCTTTTGGTGAAGAAATTTTTCCTAATATCGAATTTATATCTTTCCTGGTGCAACTTGAGGCTGTTTCCTCTTATCCTATCACTTGTTATTTGGGAGAAGAGACCGACCCCCACCTTGCTACAATCTCCTTTCAGGTGAGCAGAGAGTAGAGAGCAATAAGGTCTCCTCTGAGACTCCTTTCTAGACACCCACAGCTCCCTCAGTTGCCCCTCACAAGACTTGTGCTCCAGACCCTTCACCAGTTCCATTGCCCTTCTCTGGACACACTCCAGCACCTCAATGTCTTTCTTGTGGTGAGGGGCCCAAAACTGAACACAGGACCTCACCAGTGCCCAGTAAAATGCTGCCTAGTCTCAGAGGGGTTTCTGAAGACAAATTTGTGAAGCTTTGGAACATTTACAGATCCTGTGTTATTGGGAAGGGCTATGGGTTTCTAACAGCTACGTGTACCTGAGGCAGAAATTGAGAGGTTGGCAGAGCCAGGGTGTGTCCCCAGGTTCTGATTTCCACAGGCAGAGTGTTTGGTACAGGACTTGCCAGCTGGGGAAAAGGACCTGCTTCCTGGTTCCATGACCTGCTGAAATCCCAGGTCCACCGTGACCTGCTTTTTTCCCAGGTGCACCAGCTGCCTAGGTGCCTAGCTGCTCTCTGCAGGAGCACTGGATTTTTGTACCATTAGAGTGGATCCCGAGAAACATGCTTTGCTGGTTGGAGGTATGATGGACAAAATTTTAACAAAAGTTCTCCACGGAGAAGCCAAAGGACCAATTTACACCTGGCTAGGAAACGAATAAGAATGAAGTATAAAGTAACTTTTGAAGTTAATAGTCAGGATGAGGCTTTGAGGACAAAACAGACCAAATAGCAAATACTTTGGTGTAATTTCTATGGAACCATGCAGGAATAGTAATTTGTATTAAAAAATGGAGGAACTTGAGTCAACCATATTGCTTGCCTGGGTTTTGCCAAGGTCAGGTGTTAAAGAGCAAGCCCATTTTAACTATTAAAACTAATCCTTGGTTTTTTTGATGTAGAATGACATTGTCATTAAACAAGAAAATAAGTGGGTTTGCTTGTTTTGGTTTTCTAAAACATGTTAAGATCTCCCAGGGCTTCTGGTTATGTCATATAAAACTGCTTTTAACATTTTTTTCTGATTCTAATGTCATCGGTATGAACTGTGTTTTGGGGTTTTTTTCATATTAATGAGCCTGACAATGCTTGCAAAGCAAATGCTACATATTAATGCCTTCAGGTTATTATCTTAGAGGCAGACTGCATATCAGTGAAACAGGAAGAAAAGAGTGTGGGGTAACAGAATTTCACAACAATCCTTTATTTCCCCCCTAAATGTGGCTAATCAGGTGTTTCTTTGTCATGTAATTTTAGTAAAATATCTTGGAGTAAGTTAACAGAAGGGTGTCCCTGTTATCTTTTTTATCCTGTGCATTTTTCAAGGGGGGCATTTTTCATTCATCTGCACAGCAACATTGTGCTTTCTAACTTAAATATGAAAAATGATCCGAATCTGATAGCAAAAATACATTCTTTCTTATAAAAAATGTACTCTTTCTTATCACAAGCAATATGAAGGTGAACATCACTGTGCATATCGCTTTGGAAACAAGAGAACTTCACTGCATTTTCAGTTTTAATTTTTTTCCTGGTTTACTGCTTTATATTTTATTTTGGAGTTGGTACTTCATGTGGTTTATTGAAAAAGGGTAAGAAAATGTGCTTCTGTGCTGCAAAACTAGAAGAAGCTGGCACAAAGAAATGCTATAGATTTTTAGACTACAAGGTAAAACTGGGCGTCCAGAGGTGCCAAATAATTTTTTAATCTAGTGGCCAATTTCTGACCCATGTAATGAACAAATTACTCTCAGTTTAATTCCATGCATCACCTTGAGGGCAATACTTCTCCTTAAAAGAAAGCTAATACCATCATCACTGAAATGGCACTAATAATTACTCACATACAAATAAAATCTTATGCATTCAAGATAGGCCAAATCAAAACATTCTTCTCTGCAATTTGATTTCTGTTTACTTTGGATTGATTTTGAAAAATAGGAGAGTTGCTTTCTGCTTTGGATGAAATTCTTCCTCTGCTCTGATAGTCGCATGAGCCATGTGTCCAGGAGGTTTCTGCTTGTACTTGCATAGCAAGTGTGCCTCAGTTCAAGAAGGGCCACCTTAAAGTTTGGGCGGGTTTGATTTGCAACTTTATGGTTTCTTTACTGAAACTGTTGTCTAGAGCTGTAATTGCTGGTATGATTTTTGAAAAGTGAGGTTGTCACTGGACTAAAATAAGGACTAAGCTACCCACAGAGTGGTTAGCTTCAGTATTACTTTTCTTCCTAAATTGTCACAAGTTTCCCTTTTTCACAGAACAGACATTCTGAAATTCTGAAAGTTGAGGCAAGATTTTTTTGGGTGGACACTTCTTACGGAAATGAAGCCTTGACATATTGAATTTATCTGTAGCTGCTTTTGCAGATTCTCATGCTGCATCACACACAACTTGGCCAGAGACAAATCTGCATTGCATTGTGGACAGTGTTCTGCAGGGCATTTTGGCAGTGATAATAAAGCAGAACTGGAACGCCGACAGGAAGACAGACATCTTATTTTGTCGTTGCACTGATCTGAAAAACAGCTTTAGGTCAGTTCAGCAGGGGGTAATATTCTGGCTGGAGAAGAACAGTTTTAGAATTATTTATTTTCCCAGTAGAAAACTGAATTATTTGGCAGTACTCTTTCCTGCAGGGACTCTTTCTTCAGAAACTACATTATTTTCACTGGGAAATCATTATGCTTTTAGTGTTTTTGTACAAGCCACAGAGCTGGTAATTGATAACTGCTTTTAGTTTTTGTTTGACTGTTGGCCTTACAGGATTCAAAACAAAAGAGACTTTCTGGTATCACTGTGTGTTTCTTGAGTTTTCCAAACCTCCCAAACCATGATCAGCGCTCGGCTGGGAGATAGCAGAGACTGTTCCAAACAGAGTTGGGTGGGCTTTTTTAACTTCAGGGAAAATCTTTGAGTCCTATTTTTCTCCTGTGCTGTGCCTGAGCAGTGCCTCTGCTAGCAACATGCCTAGCACACTGGCACAAGAAGGATGTGCTAGAGACATACATGTGAACAGGAGGAATGTTATGTCTCTGTTGTAGCCCCCAGTGGGGGATCCCCATCACCTAAAAAGCATCAGAGTCACAGTGACCCCCAAATCATGTTGTTCTGGTTGTCTTTTAGTTAAAATAGAGTTGTGGCAGTTTTTTATGCAAACGGCTTTAAATGGTCTGCTGGCAACTTTTCTGTTATGTGGGGCAGCACCAGTAAACTAACTTCTGTTTGTTTGTTTAGATGACTTCCACTTGCCTCTTGATGTTGTACCAGCTGTGACAGAGGCCCTTGACTCCAAGACAAAAGGGGAAGATTTGCACAAGGAGAGCAGACCTTTCCACTACTGTGAAAAAAACACCATGGACCTGTCAGACAGTGACCGTCCTGTCAGCTTTAGTTCCACTTCCTCCTCTGCGTCCTCCAGGGACAGTCACTGCTCCTTTGGAAGCAGAATGACCTTGGTTTCCAACAGCCACTTGGGATTGTTCAACCAGGATAAAGAAACTGGTGCCATCAAGCTAGAACTAGTCCCTGCCAGGCGATTTTCCAGCAACAAGATGTGCAAAAATTCCACTGTTGAACAAGAGGATCCTGAGGAAAGCCTTGAAAAAAGGCCAAGCGTGCCAAGGAAAGTAGAACCAAGAGGAGCAAACAAAAACTGTGCAATGTCCCTCGTCACAGAGCCCACCAGTCCGAAGCTTCTCTACGTAGACAGAGTTGTCCAAGAGATTTTGGAAACAGAGAGGATGTATGTGCAGGATCTAAAAAGCATTGTCAAGGTAGGGGTCTTGGTTAGGAGGGTGTTAACTGTTCCATAATGTCATTTTTTACATTGTTTGATTTCACAACAGGACAGATGGTCCTGACAATGGAACTGGCATTTGCTGGTCTTTATAAAGCAGTGTAATATCATTGTTCTAGTGTGTTTCTAGGGTTTTTTTTATTAGATAAATCTAAGCTGTTGCTATGCTTTCATGAAGAAATAACAGAAAAAAATCCTACAGTCGGCATCCCTAGTGAACAAAGAGTGATAAACTCTTTGCAGTAACAAAACTCTTTTTATATTTACAAAAAAATGTATGTTGCTCTGTATCCTAGAATGTATAGCAAGAAGCAAACAGAAGACATCTGTAAATACCCCTTTAAAGGCTTTATCTAAAGGGTCTTACTTATTGATTATTCCATCCCTCTCCACCCAAGTCCTAGTCCTGCAAGTTCTTTCTTTTCCACATGCAAGTTACCTTTCCCTCCCTCCTTTCATGCAGCTCACAGCTGCAGTCTGTTCTTCCTGTGTCCTTGACTTCTAGTATTCAATATGGCGTTTTTAATTGCTGGAAAATACTCTTGTTTGACTGATTTATGAAGGAATTGTTTTCTGTAATACTAATTCTGAAGTAATGTTGCTAGTAAGTGGCTGTAGCATTTATTAGCAACAGTGAAGTTTTTGTCCAATCCCCAACCTAACTGTACATTTTATTTCCCTTTTCTAGTACAGGAAAAAAATCAGAAAAAATACAGGAAAAAATCAGAAAAAATACAGAAAAAAATTCTGTGGATTGTTCTTTTCACATCATGTACTCATGGCTGTGCCATCCAAATTGTGTTGTTTTGCATTTTTGAAGATGACAGTTAAGTCCCTTGGCTATTGTTTGTAGTCAACGTACTTAGCCCGCAAAGAAGAGTTTCTTGGGAGGTGCATGTTTAATGCACTATTTGTAGAACTTAGAGCTCAAAGTAGGTGTATGTGGTCACCTGAAAAAGGAAATACCAGCCAGCTGGAGATATTCTCCCCACCCACAGCTCCAACCTGCCTGGTCCCCCAAGCAGTAGTGGGGAAGGCTTTGATAACACAAATGAACATCATGATTAAACACCCCAGCCCCCTAAGTTTACATAAAGGTGGCTTTTTCTGCAAGACTTCATTGGTATCCGTAGCTGGTGCTGTTTTACTACATTCAGCTGTTGCCCGAGTTTCATTTTGGAGTGCTAAAGTTGTCAGATGCTGCAGAGCCAAGTCAGCTTCTGTGTGTAGTCACCACTCACTAGGCATGACTTCCATGCAAGGTTTTGGAAACCTTAGCGCTCACTCGTCCATCTATGCAGTAAACTGTACAACTTGAGAAACTGAAAACAATAATTAAAATCTTGAAGCAGATTTTTTGTTTACAAGTAGGAAGACCAGTAAATGCTTTCTAGAAAATACTTTAAGCATCACTACGGTAGATGTAGATTAAATAAGGCAAATGCACTTCTAGTTCGGAAAGAACTGGAGGAATTGTGAACCTGTGAAATGCCCAAGCCTATTTCTTGCAGCAATTAATAATGAATCTTGAAAGCTTTGTGTGGCACAAGACAGCTTACTTGAGAGATGGAATAGTTGGCAAGTGGGTCTTTTCTTAGGTGCTGAGGATTCATGGTGTTCAAAGGAGCTACTTCCCAGATGGTAAGGACAGTGGGGAACCATCTGCCTCAGCCTGTGCAGAATGTTCTTTGCTTGGTTTTGGGGGAGAGAGGTGTGACTGGAAGCACATTACAGAAGAGCCCATTTCATATGTTTCTTAGGATTCCTTTCTCCACAAGTTACTTTAGCAATACTGCAGTAATTTACCTAAGCAAGAGTGGAGGTTGTGAGGAGGTTGGGCATAATCCACAGACGTCTGTAGGAGTGCTGTAGCCTTATAGGGCTTGATTATCTGCACCTCTGTGACTTGAGGCCATTTAGTTTGGCAGGCAGATACCTGGTGCTGAGCCAAACTAAGATGAAGGGAAGCAGCTTCATTTTCCAGATAAACATGGATCAGATTTGGCAGCTGGTTAGGAAATGGGATGAGAATGGGAAAAGGAGAGCTGGAGAGAGGTTAAAGGGCAACTGCTGCCCAAGGAGCTGAAGAGATATATGAAGGTGGGAGCTGGTTGAAGAAAGCATAAGTGATAAGTGAAGAGAGAGAAAATCATTAGAGGGAAAACAATATAAGGAAATTAGGGAAAACCCAGAAAGTGGAAAGTTAAAATGTGGATTGGTTTGAACTGGAGTTCTCTAGCAAGTTTGCAGCTGCCTGCAGTAGAATATCACAGAATGAGTAATGTTGTAAGGAACCACAGATGGAGTCATTCAGTTCAACCTTCTTTCTCAAGCTGGGTTGTCCTAGAGCAGAAGGCACGGAATTGTCCATATGATCCTTGAATATCTCCAGTGGTGGAGACACCACAACCAGCTGGGTAGTCTGTTCTATTGCATAGTCACCTGCAAAGTAAAGAAGTTCTTCTTCATGTTCAGGTGGAACTTCCAGAGCATCAGTTTCTGCCTGTTGCTTCTTGCCCTAGTGCCTAGATCCTAATCATCTTTGCAGCCTTCCGCTGGACTTGCTTCAGGAGTTCAATGTCCCTCTTGTACTGAGGAGCCCAGAACTGGACACAGAACTCCTACTTAACTAGGGCTAAGTAAAGGAGCAGGATCACCTACCTTGACCTTTTGACAATGCTCTTCCTAATGCGCTCCAGGATACCATTGGCCTTTGTGGGCACAAGGGCACACTGCTGGCTCATGGACAGCTGGTTGTCCACCAGGACCTTGGACGCTTATGTACACAGTCTAAAAATAGTAAGGAGGGTCTGGTGGGGATTTCCTTTTTTTCAGGGAGCAGGGGGAGGAGGGTGTTGTGTGGGGTGGGGTTTATTTGGTTGGTTTTTTAGGGTTTTGGAGGTTGGGATTTTTTTTTTTTTTTTAATTAGTTTGGGGGGGGGGAATATTGGTTTTTGTTTTGCTTAGAGGTTTTTTTAATATATTCACACACTTTCCCATTATCCAGATCATTAATGAATACATTAAACAGGATGGAACCCAGTATGGGTATGCCACTAACCTCCAACTTCATTTTGTGCCTGTGAATACCATGCTTAAGTCCTGTCTGGTTAGGCAATTTTCAGTCAAATTTAGTGTCTGTTTATCCAGCTCATACTTCTTCAACTTGGGTGTGAGGATCTTAAGAAGTTAAAAGCCTTTCTGAAGTCAAGGGAGACAATATCCACTGCTTTCCACTGATACACCAAGCCAGTTGTTTTATAGTTAAAGGTTTATCAGACTGGTCAACTTTCCCTTGATGAATCCCTGATGACTGTTCTTGATTACCTTCTTGCCCTCAGTGTGCCTGGAACTGGTTCCCAGGACTAGCTGCACACAAATGACCCATTAACATGGATGATGTGAAATTGCATGAAGGATCCTGGTAATAGTTGTAATAACAGAAGTCAGCTCGGTAAGAGTTAGCCTAGCACAGTATTTGGGCAGTGTCCTTTCAACCTGTGTTGTCCTTAGAACAGAGAGTTATCATGCCTGAAGCAAAACTCTATGGATAAATGGGGCAAAATACAATGTCACCCTTTTTGATGCTTGTATTGACCTAATGCTGTTAGGTCATTGATAAGAAAACAAATAAAAATAAACTAAAAAGACATAACTTCCAGGCCTTTTGAGTATCTGGGTGATGTTGACAGTGCCAAGTTGGTAGACAGAAGTAAAAATTGACTTCATGGGACATGGTTAATGTGACTTTTAAATTATACTGGAGACCTGCTGAGGTTCTCCAGCTTTCTTTCAAACTGCTGATAAAAAGTATTTAATGGTCTTAGGATGAGTGAGAGGAGGCTGTACAGGTGCTATTTGGCACCCTTTGCTCCAGGATATGCATTAAAACCCAACTGCTTTTCTAGCCAGTACAGCCATTTTCTCTATGACCTCGATGAGTTATGATTGTTTTGAGGCACACTGCCGTGACTCTTGCACAGGCAAGCATTTCAACAAAGATAGAGAGAACTTTTCCATCATTTGGTATGTTTTATCAGATGATCTGTTAAGGATAATTAAAGTTTTCAATGAGTGCAGCTTGAAGCTTGTTTTGGGCAAGTTTGTGATGAGAAATCGGATATCTCTGCTTCCTGCTTGTGGCATTCTGACAGGTGTACTGGCCAGGGCAAAACTCACTGACCTTCTCCTCTTCAGGACCTACTCTGACTTTTTCAAGTAGTAATGTAGTTAGAATAGGCATAACCTTCAATTACAGTCACTTACTCAAGTAACTTTTTTTTCCCCTGAATTGAATTCTGTCTCAGAATTTATAATAAAACTATGTTTTGCCCTTGCAGTTCGTAGGAGTCAGAAGCCCCCATTCATAATTTGTACAGTAGCTAGTAACCGTAGAGAGACATCCACATTTGTGTTTTACTTTTGCAAAATGAAGGAATGATGCAAATGCATTGTTACAATGCTTGCATCTGTCATTTTACATTAAACACCTTCACAGTGATATCAGCTTACTCAGAACATCAAGATGCACATCATGGACCTCAGTCTTGCTACAGGATCCTCTGTCCGTAAAATAAAATAAGTAAAAAGTCATCGGTTTCTGTACAATAGCTAGAGGGGAATGAAGCATGCATTGTCAGTGCGTTTCACAAATATCTGATGCAAACAGATGTTGAGCATCAGGAATCTTGAACTCAGTCTGAAATCTGTGAGCCTTCATTTATGTGAATAAGGTTCTCTACCCTTTCATTCCAAATTAGTGGGTTTTTTGGTTTATTTGTTTGTTTTAACCATCCCTACTGGACTAGTTGAAGTCTTTGTCCTATCTCCCTTCCATATCTTTTGTCCCTGGCTCCATTTTTTTATACTTAAGACTCCTCATTTGAGAAAGTCCCATTCTCCTCTGCACAGTCTTCTACCTGTAATCTTCCTGCCTATCTTTCCTAAGTCTTCTCTCCAAAGGACCATTGCTAGAAG